CCCGCCTCGCCCGCCCCGAGAGCGATCCAGCAGCCCAGGTCAGCCACCGCCGGGGGGCGAAGCCGGACCCCCACCCGCACCACCACCACCCCGGAGCCTCCGCGCTTCTTCAGCTCACCCGATGCGGAAAAGCAAGGGGCCGGCCAAAGCCATGGGCACCTGGCACAAGGGCGGCACGCCGGTCCGGCACCAGTAAGAGACGTTGCTCGCGGCGCGGCGGCACCAAACCACCAGAGCGGCGATCCCGGCTCCGGCCCGCTGCAGCAACCGCCAAACCAGCCAAGCCATGCTCTGCGGAAGGCGGCAGCGGGGCCGCCCCCCCACCGCGGCCTTGAACACACCCCGCCCACCAACAGCGCCTCAGCGCCCAAGGCCACGCCCCCTCCTGATGCCGCCTAGCGGTGGTGGTGGTGGGGCGCTGTTCTCTCTCTCCCCCCCTCCAAGGAATCCTGCCCTAAACGGTGGTAGAGGTGGTGGGGTTGGTCGCTCTCAGCCACCCAGGAAAACATGCAAGCAGTCGCAAGGCTTCTTGATTAACTATATGAGCATATTTTTAATAGTGTCTGCAATTGCAGTAACGTCGGAAAGCAAATCCCGTGTGACGGTTCAGCGATCCCGCTCATAATCCCATTGTAATATACGGCCCTATATTTTATAGGGCGGGGGGTCTTGCTCAATTACTCTACTTCTTTTCCTTGAAGATTTATACTTCTCCCTGTACGACACGTGCTAGGGGTCCAAACGACGGTTTCACAACAGTACCGAAACAGGACTGTCGAAAGCACAGCTCTGTTATCAGACGATGGTGGTGGTTACGTTATGCAGATTAGTGACAGTTGAGAAAATAAAACGCTGCCCAAGGGCACCTCCTGGCCTACTGCCTCTAAAGGCCCACTCGTATAACGGCAGGGAGAATGCAAGATTCCCCTGCCTAGCGTCTCTGCTGTCCAGGAATTCCATTTTCACCATCCTGAGGCAAGAGAAATGTAATATCGCCCTTCTGATGGTTCGGTTCCCCCCCCCCATATCAATGGGTTTTCTTCCATTTTACAGTGCAGTGTGAACCTCCTGCCAGGTTAGTGTCATCACCCCCAGCAAATGTGATCTGACACAAGCCTCTCAGTCCTCTCCCTCGTGTCTTTGAGGCAGCATTAATAACCATCCTAGTGCCCATGTGCATTATAGTTAGTGACATCTTACAGAGAAATGAATGTAGGGTCTTTTTGTTGCATTTAATATCAGCATGACGTGGATTAGTCTCATTCTGTTGCTCGTAGTCTAATCCTCTGTCACTGAGGGCCGGAGGGATAGAACAGCTGTGCTGTATGGTGGGCACAAGCAGCCGAGGGTCTGCTTCTTTAAAATCAGAGTCACAAAATGGCAGAACGTTTGCCCGTGGTGGAGAATAATACACAATCATTAACGAGAATCATTTCTGCTTGTTTATTAAAAGAGTAAATCAGCATTGCTGACTGGGTAGCTCAGTGAGTTAGAGTTTGACTCTCCACTGTGTATCCTAAAAAAAGCCAGCCTGTGTGGCCTTGGGCAAGCTGCACAGTCTCAAGATGCCACCAAAAGAAGGGAGGATGAGCCACTTCTGAGTACTCCCTACCTAGAAAGGCCTGAAAAGGGTTGCCATAGGTCAGAATTTACTTGACAGCATATTTATTATTATTTAAAAATACCAGACACAGTCAATCAAAATTATGAAAACATTGACTGGTATTATATAACAGATACATATTTTAACCAAAACCCAAAGTATCTGTTAAATACTGGTGCAGTATTATGCTGTTTCTAATATTGCCATTTATTATTATTTTAGCTCTGATGGTGTGATTTCTGAGATCTGCAACTGCCTATAGTACTGTATGAAATTTCTCAAAGCCCCAATGACTACTGGGGCCACTAAAGTGTGTTTCATCCACAAGCAATATGTTTTGATTGCCAGGTCTTTGTATTTTGTTAGTTTTTCCAGTTCTTTATTTTCAACTCTAGCATCCTCAGAATTTCAATGTCAATCCAGACATATTTTCATTCTATTACTACTATGTCTGTCATGTTTCATCTTTTTCTTGGCAGAATTGACATTTGCTGTTAGCGCTAATTCCTTGGATCTTAGCTTACATCATATTGGTTTGGAGTGCTTGTTCTTATGCATGAAAAATCAAGCCTTCGTTTTCTTTCTTAAGGGTCTCCAGTTTTAGCCACACCCATGTTGTTGTTGTTGTTGTTGTTGTTTAATCATTTAGTCGTGTCTGACTCTTCGTGACCCCATGGACCAGAGCACGCCAGGCCCTCCTATCTTCCACTGCCTCCCGGAGTTGTGTCAAATTCATGTTGGTTGCTTCGCAGACACTGTCCAGCCATCTCATCCTCTGTCGTCCCCTTCTCCTCTTGCCAAGAAGTCTTCTCTTCTCATGAGATGGCCAAAGTACTGGAGCCTTAGCTTCAGCATCTGTCCTTCCAGTGAGCACTCAGGGTTGATTTCCTTTAGAATTGATAGGTTTGTTCTCCTCGGAGTCCAGGGGACTCTCAAGAGCCTCCTCCAGCACCACAATTCAAAGGCATCAATTCTTCGGCGGTCTGCTTTCTTTATGGTCCAGCTCTCACTTCCATACATCACGACAGGAAAAACCATAGCTTTGACTATTCGGACTTTTGTTGGCAAGGTGATGTCTCTGCTTTTTAAGATGCTGTTGAGGTTTGTCATCACTTTCCTCCCAAGAAGCAGGCGTCTTTTAATTTTGTGGCTGCTGTCTCCATCTGCAGTGATCATGGAGCCCAAGAAAGTAAAATCTGTCACTGCCTCTATATCTTCCCCTTCTATTTTTTCTTCCGGCAATCTTAATTCCGGCTTGGCATTCCTCCAGTCCAGCCTTCCGCATGATGTATTCTGCATATAAGTTAAATAAGCTGGGGGACAATATACAGCCTTGTCGTATTCCTTTCCCAATTTTGAACCAATCCATTGTTCCATATCCAGTTCTAACTGTTGCTTCCTGTCCCACATATAGGTTTCTCAGGAGATAGATAAGATGGTCAGGCCATGTTACCCGCTGTTTTAATTCTTCTACAGTTTCAATAATTCTTTTCCTTTCTAGGTCATATACTGTATTTTGCATAATCTGGCTTTTACTTTTCCATTTTTAAGTTTTGAATCTTTCAAGTTTTTTAACTTGCTAATGTCTGCATATAATTACTTTTCTTTTCAGCTGAATTTTCCAGTTTGGAATGCTGAGATTTTTCTGGCTTTTTGTTTTGTTTTTGTTTGTTTGTTTTTTGCAGCTTGTAACCAAGTTCTGTGGTTTTTATGGTAGCTGTGCTGTACATCAGCTGGTTTGTTTCCTTTAGTGTGTTGGTTGGGATTCTTCTGATGACTGCATTTGCATCATTCAGTATATCTTTTTCTGGTTTACTTTGCAAAGTGGGGAGCCTTTGTTTTTCTGTATTCTGGCTAATATGGGTTACTATTTTTCCCCTTAGTGACCATAAGTTGTTCCTCTATTGATATGTTTTCTTGTGTTATTGCATCTACTTCTACCCTCCATTTGTCTTCCATAATATGGTCATTGTTCTGTATTGATTTTTCTCTTGCCACCTTTTCTAGTTCTTGCAACTCCAGTTCTGAAAACATTTTACTCTGGATGAAAGCTTTCTCTGGTCCATCAGTTGTTATTCAGTTATGTCTCTACTTGGGTGTTTCCTTTTCCAAATGTCCATCATTCTTTTTTTAAAAACCACGTGCTATTGGGTTTGCCTTATAATAACATTACATAATTTCTTGATTTTCAGCAGGAGTCACAAGTTTTGCATTTACGTTGTTGCAGTAGCTTTGCAGCAATCTGTCCTGGTTCCTCAACAGGGTCTGCTGAGCCCTGTAGTCCATTTGTCATCAGATACCCAGGGGCTATAGAGTCTGACACAGTCCTTGTTGACCTGGGCAACGACCAATCTGATATGGATTTCTGTTTGTTTCCTTTCATCATAATTGATGGTTGGTGGACACAGTTGGTCTGGCTTCTCAGCTGAGACCTGTCTGGCTTGGGAGACCCTTCAGCATAGCTCTCAGCCTCACTGAAATGTGCAAGCCCCTCCACCTCAACAAGGCCTGTGCCCATGGAGGGGATTATGATGATGATATGCCAGTATAACAATACTTGGGTAAGAAAAGAGAGGCAAATCCAGCGTGTGAAACAACTTTGAGAACTCCAGGGGACTGTCCTTTCCAATATTTTTCTTTTCTTTTTTTAAAAAAACTGAAAAAGCCCTTCACGCCCTCTAGTGACCAACATTTTGAAACTATGTTTTTGTTTTTTTTAAAATGGGGTAGAAGGCCATGAGGTACTGTCCCTCAAAACATAGTAAAATTACCTCCTAGCTATTTGCTTTATTTATTTTTATTTGTTTCTTTAAAATTGTATCCCAACTATTTAGTAGACAAACCACCACTGAGTGGCTTCCAGAAAATAACAACAATGTCCTATACAACAATTTTAAAATAAATTTTAAAAATTGAGCATATGAAAACAAAAACCTGTTTGGCGAGCCATGGGCTGGCATAAACTAAGGGCAAAATCAATATTACAAAGAGGTGAGGTTTGTAAAGGCTTCGGTAAAAAGCCAGGTTTCCACTTGCTTGTGGAAAATCAGGAGGCTGGGGGCCAATTGCACCTCCACAGGGAGGGAGTTCCAGAGTGGGGCAGCCACTACCGAGAACGCCTGGCCTCTGGTTGATGACTTCTGGGCCACTCTCAGAGTGGCCATCCGCAGCATCAAGGATTGGGAGGTGTGGGTGGGACAGGAGGATGACCTGAGGGAGAGGTGCTCTGACAGGTAACGAGCTCCTGTGCCACCTGAAGGAGACAAGGTAATTTTTGATTCAAATTGTTAAACAAACAAAAAATAAATTGGAAGGACGTGCTGGGTGCCCAGGCAAATTAGGAGCTGCAAATTGCTCACCCCAGTTTACAGCAAGGATGGGGAATCCTTTATAGCAGGGGTCCTCAAGTCTCTTTAGTCTCAGAACTGTTTTACTCACTGGCCAGAATCCTACTGGGATTTTACTGTAGAGTAAATGAAATTGTGTAAGTAGCGGTGGCCAATTGCAGCTAAAGTGCCAGATTTGTGCTCCACAAAATTTCCTGTCCTCAGCTGACCTGCTCAGCTCTTGCGGACTCAAGCCCATGGTCTTTTTTAGGGAGCCAGACCATCTCATATTTGGTCTTTCTTTTTTCCTGGTGCCTTCCACCTTTCCCAGCATCGCTGTCTTTTTTCAGAGGATCTTGTCTTCTCATAATATGCCTAGAGCAGGACAGCCTCAAGTTTCAACATTTTTTGCCTCCAGAGATAGTTCAGACTTGATTTGATCTAGGACCCACTTGTGTTTCTGACAATCCAGGGTATCCACAAAGCTGTCCTCCAGCTCAATTTTTCAAGAGAATCAATTTTTTTCCTGTCAACTCTCTTAACTGTCCAGCTTTTCACACCCATACATGGTGATCAGAAATACAAGAGAATAGATTATCTTGATCTATGTCTCCAGTGACACATCCATACATTCAGTTATATTTTCTAGTTCCTTTATTGCTGCCCTTCCTAGTCCCAGTTTTCTTCTGATTTCTTGGCTGCATTCTTCATTTGGATTGACGATTGAACAAACATATACAAAATCTCTACCTAAATCTCTACCTATTTCAATTTCTTCATTGTCAGTTCACATCCTTTGGGGGAAAAATGGTATTGAGACAATATGGTATTGAGCTTTGTTTTCAAGGTGCATCTTCCTTTATACAAAGTAGTGAGCAAGTTTGCAGCCAGGAAACAAATTCCAGGGACAGTCTTATTTTTTGAAAATCATCTTATTGACATTTGCTTTGAACAGTCTGCAAAGGGTGGGGTTTGTCTGTGAGTTAATTTTCTCTGATAACTCATGAAAAATGTGCAGCATGTAAAAGAAACAAGATGCAATGGGAGCAGGTGGAGGAGTAAAATGCCATGTGAATGATCCCTTTCCCTAGGGGGGAAAATAGCTGAGAAGATTTCATCTCAGAAGATGCCCCAAGCATGACCTTC